ATATTCAGAATATATAACAAATACCAACAACTCAACAATAAAAACAAATCTTGCTCGCTGGGCGTGGTGGCACACGCCTATAATCCTAGCACTCAGGAGGCTGAGGCAGGAGGATTACTGTGAGTTTGAGACCAGCCTGGGCTACAAAGGTCAGTCTGAATTATATAGTGAGACCCTGTCTCAAAAAATGACAACAACAAAAACCAAATTCTGTTCAAACCTGGGCAAAGCATGTGAACAGGCATTTCTTAAAAAAGGATATACAGATAGATGGTCAATGAACACATGGAAAAGGTTCTGAACATTATTACTTATCAGGGAAATAAAAACCAAAATCACAGCAAGATACCACTTTATGCCCGTAAGATGAAGGCTTTCGGCATGACTTTTATTAAAAACAACAACTAGACAAAAATAACAAGTGACGGCAAAGACATGGGAGAGTTAGAACACTTGTATGTTTCTGGTTGGAATGTAAAATGATGTGGCCACTGTGGAAAATAGTGTGGCATAAAACATGAAGCATAGAATTCTATATGGTCCAGGGATTCCACTTCTGGTAAATACTGCACTCAAAAGAAGTGAAAGCAGGGACTCAAACATGTTTGTACACTCATGGTCAGCAGCATTATCGCAATAGCCAAAGGGAGGACACGACACGAGGACCCTGCCGTGATTAACGGGTAAGCCCAGCACAGCACACACATCTAACGAAATCGCCTCGGAAGGGAACACAGCTCTGACTCACCTAGAATGTGGGTGAACCGTGAAGACATTGTGCAGGGTGCAATAAGTGAGATATAAATGCATAAATACTGTGTGGTTCCACTTATATGAGCTGCCTAAAGCAGGCAGATCCACAGAGACAGAGCGTAGAAAAGAGGTTGCCAGGGTCTCCGTGAGGAAAGAATTGGCAGTGGTTTCAGGTTTACAGCGTTTTGCATTATGAAAAGTTCTGGAGATGGAGGGTGGTGGTGGTTGCACAAAAATGAGATTTACTTTAATGCCATAGCACCTCCATATACACTCAAAAATGTTTAAAATTATAATTTTGTGCCATGTGTTTTTAACCACAGTTTTTTTTAAATGAGAGAGAGGAAAAAAAAGTTTCTCTGTGAACCTCAGGACTTTATTCTGGGCCCTTACCGCACAAGGAAGAAAATCTTAATACAAGAAATCTTGATACAAAAATTACAGAAAACCAATACAAAGAATGTTAAAATAAGTTTCTAAGGATGTTAAGGTGCTGGAACAACAGATCAAAATGAATACTGAAATTAAATAGGAATAGTAATATAACTCAGAATACAGGATAAAAATGAAAAGTACAGAACTGAGAGTAATGACTTTTTATATGAAAAAAAAAGTTGGGTTTCCATTTCCTAAAATCCAATGGAATCCCATAGCAGAGGAGGAAAAATGGTACATCTTACCCATTAATAAAACCGTGTTCAGATAGGAGGCAGTACTCCACTACCCACTGAGATGAATGACCGGACTGGGGCACCAAATACTCCCTTTGGTTCTTCTTTGAAGGTTTTTATAAACTAACGAAATAAGAGGATGGTCAGGGAAATCTCAACCAGGTCTCACTGGTCTTTATTGCTGGTGTAGGGCATCTAGCTTAGGGAAAAGATAATTAGGAGGGACGTAGGAAGTGTCTTCATCTATCTGAAAGATCGGCATGTGAAATAAGGACTGCCCTTATTCTTCTGCCTCCCATACCTGCCTTTGGTACTGAGGACTGAACTCAGGACCTTGCGCTTGCAAGGCAGGCGGTGGAACCACTGAGCTAAATCTCCAGTCCAGGACTGCCTGTCATTAGATTGGTGACATCAACAGAGTAGCCTCCTGTTACTGGATGGCTCAAGGAGAGGTGTTTACCCATTTGGGACTCTGGAGAGCAGTAGGTTCATGCCTCCCATCACCATGGATTGTTTTTTAGCTCCTTCATCTCAAAATCTTCATATTGTATTTGACTCCTCCCCTGTCCCCCAACATCCAGTGAAGGCTTGGAGTCCTTCCTCCACAGCTGTCTTGACTTGACCATCACGTTGCACCAACCTCAGCTCCTCAACTATGGAATACCGTATGTACTGTCAGTCAGCTCTTCTGGCCTTTGGATGGTCCGTTGCCTCAATCCATTCTGCACAGACCTGCTAGACTCCCTTTATAAAATACCCAGCAAGTAATTATTTTGATCAAGACCAAATGCTTCCCATGTTAAGATAAAATTCCTTTTTCTTTCTCTTTTTTAATTTTTTTGACTTTTGGGCATGTTCTGCCTTCCCTCCCTTCTCAATTTCCCATTCTACTACCCAATCGATTTTGGTGAAGCTGTTCTCTTTGGTGTCATCTGGCTCGATTGTCTTCACCTGCTCATTCCCACTTCCATTCCCTCATATATGTTGCACCCCTGTTTCCTTCACCCCAGCTTTTTTAATAGGGTCTATACTAAAAGTACTGTGAAATCTTTTCTGGTCACCCAAGCTCACACCAGCCCTTCTCTCTGTCACTCATTTAACAAGTGTTTACCGATCTTCCAAGAGAAAAGACACTATGGTGAGCACATGATGAACAAGAAAAATTGGGCTCTTGACTTCACAGAGCAGGCAAGAGAAAGTAATTTCTATGAGGGACACAGACACTGTCACACAAAATGACATCGTGTGTGTAAATGTGTGTTGGTTGGTATTTTGATAGGGCAAGCAGAGAGGGTCTCTTTCAGAAGCTGACAAATTTTAAGTTAGGGCCTGAAAGATGTGAGTCAAGGAGCCAGCTGCCGGGAAGGGCTGGAGTCAAGGTAGCCAGGCTGAGGAAGCAGTGTGTAGGGCTCCGGAGGCAAGAAGAGCTCAGCACACTGGAGATACTGAAGTCAGAAAGGGTGAGGGAAGCAGGGCATGCAGTGGAGCCAGAGAGAAGCCTAGGGCCTGCTAGGCACATTAACAACTTTGGATTTCACACTGACTGCATTGGGAAGACACTGAAGGATTTTAAGCAAGAAAGTGATATATGTGATTTATCCATTTGTTTTAAACTGGGGCTCGAACACCCCCAGCCCTATTTTTTTAAAAAAATGTTAGATAGTGTCTTCCTAAATTGCTCAAGCTGGCCTTGAACTCGCCATCTTCCTGCCTTAGTTTCCCAAGTAGCTGGGATTACAGGCACGTGCCACCATGCCTGGCTATGATTTACACTTTTTAAGATTACTGTATCTACAATGTGGAAAATAGGCTGAATGGGAGTAAGAGGTTATGAAAACAATGTAATAGAACAGGTGAAAGATGGTAACTTGAACTTCAGTGATGGAGAAAAGTGGATACATTTCAGATATGTTTCGGGAATGGACATCAAAGGGTTTGCTAATGGTTTTATGCAAGCAGTTAAGAATTAAAAGTGATTCCTAGGTGTTTGATGTGATAATTGCATGGGGACATGGAATACACTTTTTGGTGTGATGGGGAAGTGGGATAATAGAGATTAGATTTGGGGGAAACTGAACAGTAAGACATAGTGTATTTGAGAAGTGTCTTTGGACACCCAAAACACACTGTTAAGCTGCCTATTGACTGCGAGGGTCTAGAACTCACACAGATAAGCTGAGGGGAAGATAGAAATTCTAGCGTTGTCAGCATGCACTAGTATTCATTGACTACGAATGGATGAATTAGAGTAAGGAGAAGGCAAGAACAAAGCCTAGGCGATGTTTGTATGTTGATGGTAAAGATCTAAAGGAAAGGGAGAGATAAATAATGCAGATAGGAAGTCACAGGTATGATAACATTCTTGTTACATCCAGTCTGTATTTCCAGTTTTGTAATTATTTTTATATGGAATGTGAACATAGAACATGGTAATGCTGAAAATAGAATATAGTCTGGTTCAGCAATTATTTCTGTTATTTTCTCTTCAATTAGATATAGGGTACTTATAAGCAGCTAGTATAATCCACTGTGCCTAGCACAGGGCATGGTATAAGGTCAGTACTTATGTCTTCGGTGAAGAGTAATACTTTAAAAGTTCTTGCTAAAGTCATGGGTTCAGAGCCAGGGATTTGGCTCAGTGGTTTCACCACTTGCCTGGTGAGTGCAAGGGCCCAAGTTTGATCCCCGGTACAGTGGGGGAAAAAAATCACTTAGCAGAAGGCTAAGTGATCTGGTTCATCCTTCGAATGGATGCGATCCTTGTGTTTCTTCATTGTGTTATCACCTTTAAATAATGATGATTGTATGTTAAAGGCCTTGTAGCCACCAAGTACAGTAGGAATTAAGAGAACAAACTAATCTTTCCTGCAGTGGGTTGAATGGCATTTTAATTAATGTATTTATATATTTTAGCATAGTAAAGTTACATATACACTTTTATAAATAAATGTGTGTATTTCTAAAAAGTTTTAATAGATAAACCACTGACAGCCATTTAAGCAAACTTTACCAAAGCCAAGGAGAACTTTTGTATTTGGAGTACAAAAGAAGTCACAGTATTCCACAATCACCTCTAACCACATGCATTCTGACAGAACACAGTGATAATAACTCAGTTTGCAGCAAGGTGCTGAGCCCAGCCCAGCTGCACTGGACACTCAGAACTGAGCAGCCAGAAACCAGTACTCAGAGCCCTTGAGAGCAAGTGGATTCATGGTGATGGACAGGAGTTTCCAAGGAAAGGTGCTCACCAAGGAGCAGTGGAATTGTATGTACATGGGAAACGAGGAAAGCGAAAGCTCCTGGATACTTGGGGAAGATGAGAAATAAACACAGGCTCCTGGGAGATTTTTACAGAAAGAACTTTGGATGTAGCAAATTAATAAATTTATCTTTAAAATCCTGAAAACCTAAATTCACCCTTATACAAATTAATTGGAAGGGCTGCGGATTCAGCACAGTGGTTCTGGCTCCTGCCTCACAAGCGCAAGGATCCGAGTTCGATCCCTGGTGCAAAAAAAAACAAAACCCAAAAAACCCAAAAAACCAGAAAAACTGGATACTGGTTACCACTGAGATTTATAAGCTGCTTCTGCCCTTCAATCTTAGCTCTGGCCACCGGAGAAAGAAGAGGGTAGCTAGCATAGAACTGTAGCCAGGGGGCTGCTTCCCAAGGTGCTTTCTTTTTGTTTGACTGTTTGACCTACCTTACCTTTTGCAAGGTATGAGAATCAGATCTTTCAGAACAACACACAAATACATCAAGTTAGCTGTTTCAGTTTCACCAGCCTAATGTCCCACTCCACCCTCAAGCAAAGATTTGTACTGTACTTTCTTTTCACCGAGGCTGGGTTTCTTTAGCCTATTCTTTTTTTTTTTTTAATATTTTTTTCGTTACCCTATTATTTGGAACCCTAAGATTCCTCACAGTTGCTTGGGGGCTCGAAAGCAGTATTTTTGCAAGGGAAGCCCAAGTCCTTTCTGTTTGGTAAAATAACTGAATTTCTTCACGCTTTAAGTATATGAGAGGACATTTCTGAACCTTCTTTGACTTCTTCCCGTGGTCACTCTTCACACTTACCTTCTTCCTCGAGTATGTGGTTGCCAAGTGCAGGTGAGCACCGAGCCCAAAAATGGACAGATGAAGTGTGGTCACCTATAGGGCAGAAAGCAGATCTGTGTCTGTTGGACAGTAACCCAGATAAGAAGCCATGTTAAACAGAGACAATTTTATTACATCCCTCATGGCATAACTTCAGCATTATTTTAACTCCCTCTAAGATGAAATTTTTGGCCGCTGACTGGTTTTGTGCTTTATAAACCATTTGCTTGAAATGTGTTGTTAAAAATTTACTACTGAATTAAGACTTCGTGACTTTTCTTAACTATAAGAGTTGGTGACTTTGTAAAGAATTACAGATCTGGACTAGAGAAAACAAAGTGCCATAAGGTTCAGCTGTCTCAACAGTGTGAGAAATATAATACAATTTGATGCTTTTTAAAGCTGAAGAGAGGAGTCTGAGAATTGTAGAATAAGCCCATTTTTATAGATGATCTTGTGGTTCCCTTTTCCTACCTCCAGCCTGTTCTTCACATTTCAGTTTAACAGTTTTTCTGAAGACCCAATCTGATCACCTGCCTGCCTTACTTGAGACTTATTTTTTTTTAATTTTTATTTTTGTGGTGCTGGGGATCAAATGAGGGCCTCGCACATGCTGAATATCAGCCCCACCGCTGTGCGACTTCCAGGCCTCACTTACAACGTGAAAGTCCGACTCCTTCAGGGGCTGTTCCTGGTTCTCCATGACCTTCCCCCTTCCTCTAAGCTCATTTATTTTGTTTTATCTCTGCCTCCCTTAAAGAACCTATCCTGCTTTGCCCTGCCGTTCCCACTTCCTCTTACCAGTTTCTTCCAGGAAATCTCTCTCCTTCAAGATGTCAGTTCAAAATCACCTTTCCTTTGAAACTTCCTCGGGCCTGTTGCACCCTCTTCACACTTGCACTGCATTAAGCCTCATAATGAAATGGCCCATTCACCCAGGCTTTCCTCATCCTACCTTCCCTCTCCCATTTCTCCATTCCAGCCTTAGCACCGTTGCTGCTGCACAGGAAGTACCCTGTCTGCTGAGTACATGATGCCTCGGGGTAAGTACAACTTCCCTCTCCTCTCAGCACTTTGAAAGAAAGTACTCAGAGAAGAAGGGAAATGTCTAAGAGTACACTGTTTAAATGGGACACAGCAGCCACTCTGCCTGGGGCCCCCCAGCTGCTGGTTAAGGAGAAAGAAAAAATAGAAAGGGTCAAGCACCACTGTGGAGCTGCTGTGGTTTCTCTTCTTCGCAACAGCAAACTGCTAGACCAAGCTGGGTCCTATCTAGCTGCACAGGCAGCTCATCCATGAAGCAGCCCCAGTGAAGCCACTGAAGTCCAATTACAACATCCAGATACGTGAGAGTAGAGAGGTGTGGAGAAATGTTGGATCAACTTTTTTAAAAGTGTCGCTTTAATTTTACGTTAGGGGTTAGGTAGCAAAACCCAAACTCTGGCCCGGGGAGAAGACTGGCTGAGTCCTCACAGGACTATGTGAATCTGAAGCATGTTTATCACTCCTTCGCCTATGGTTAAAAACCTTGGCATTAGTTCTCTATGCAACTGAGTGTAGTCCCTCAAAGTACGATTTTACTGCGTAACAACCCCAACAAATTCAAAATTGTTCTATTGAAACAACACATAAACTTGGCTCATCATGAATCGTGATGAAATGTTAGCATATACTGATAAAGTAAATGAAGGAAGGTTTCTGAAAGTTTTTTAAAAATCCACTGGTTTGAAATGGGGAAGTTGACCCGCACAGCTGCCAGTCCTCCAGCAGGGGGCTGTGGCAGATGCCCACCCCAGCAGCTGTGGCCGCCTCAAAGGGCTACTCGGCTCTGCCGGGAAAGCGGAATCCTTTGCGGTCTGGACTTCCTACCTGAGGGCAGTAGTGGGGCCACTGCCCTTAGTGACCATGACACTATCGTGTGCAGCAGAGTGGAGCTACCTTGGAAGCCAGACCAGTGCACAAATGCCAGTTTCCACCTAACCCCTAGGCTTTCCTCTTGCACTACCCACAGTTGGCTGTTATGTGGTTCTGTCTACACAGTCAAGGCCAGGAGCCTCGAAGATAGCTGTATTTGTGGGAGAAAAATCATCTTACCACCCTAATTTCGCCACAGTATAACACTTTTACCGCCCAACAGAATAGATCTCATTAAGAACACTTAAACTTTTGAGCTCAGAGATGCTTACCACCTGCTCCATCATAGGGCCCCTCAGAAATCAGCAAGGTAACAGAGGTGACTGCGGTACTCAAACGTTCAGCTCTACTTTTGTTATCTGGCTCTTGTGTTACTGAGAAGACAGGACAGCTGCTGCTGGAGGGAAGAGAAAAACAGTTCTCAAAAGCACTTGTCGGAGACAGCAACATTCACAGACTGTGCAACACCAGTAAAGCCCAATTTATACTAGTTTGTCTGCAGATGACTCTGCACCTGCTGCTCCTTGCTTAGATTCTCTCACCTAAGAGCAAACATGCACACAGACACCCACTCAGTGAGCTAAAAACACTGACAACAACTCAAGGAAATACACACACTGGAACAAAATTACCTGCACAGAAATCTAACAGCGAGTCTCTCGGATTCGTATCTTGCAGGTTACAGTGATGCATCGGAGGCAGGTGTGGTGGGAAGCGAATGGTGCACAGACTTGGTGGCGCTGGCAGAGGTGACAGGCAGCGGGAGGCGGGAGGGGCACAGAGCGGACCACAGAAACACTGACTGGAAGTCCCGGACTCGCAGGTGTAGAAGTATTTTACCTTAGCAAGATGCAGGGACACCAGTTTATTTAAAGGGCTAAAAATATACCTTTGGACTTTGAATTACTTCACACCTTGAAATTGGCTCTCACAAAAATTCCTGATCCGGACCACTAACTGCCATGGTAAAGGCTCTTCTGCTGGCAACCAGGGTTTCCTGACTGAGAAAGGAACAGCGAGACACACCTGCAGGAGTTCTCCTCACAGGAGGAAGAGGCTTTATCCCAGAAGGCCTTTCAGATACCTCCCCATCCTACCCATCAACTCCTATACAAAGATTGTTTCTGGATCACATCACCAATGTGGCCAATACTAAGCAAGCTGGAATCCAAATGAACAAAAAAGGCTGTTCAACTTTGTAAGAAACAATATATTTTATTTTTCTGACACCACAGCTCTGGCGAGTGGTTTTGTACCAAATTCAATGGAGGTTACACAGAACGTTTTACGCATGGGAGGAGGAGGAAAGGGAAGGGACCACAAAATTCAAAACAAAAACAATGTCCTGGATAGCTTTTAGCATCTGTTCCACTCCCACATTAATAAAATTCACTTGGTAATTTCTAATAAAAGGAGAACAGAAAACAAGGTGGGCAGGAAAGCGTACACTGGGGAAGGGAAAGGCTAAGGGGGACGGACCGGAGGCCACCCCAGGACAGAGCCTTCCCGCCAGGTCAGGAGGATGCTCAGCATGGAAGGTGAGGCTTCACTGGAGTTATTTCCCAGAAGAACAGCAAGTATTGCAGCTGCCAGAGGGCAGCAGAGAGGAAGGAAGCAGAGGGTTGTCAGTGGGGACACAAGGGACGGAAACACTTAACCAAGGAGATAGGGAGGGTGGGGGAAAATGAAAAATGTGGTGGGTGTGTGTACTGGGAGAGACAGTGCTGAAGAGCACTTGAAACGAAAGACAAAAGTCCTAAGCTTCATTATTTTTCAAAAGAAAAATTTCCCCCCTCCCCCCACCCCTCACTGAACTTAGTTCCTTTTTTTTCTTTGTGCTTTTCATTAATACTCTGCTCTGAGGTCGTAGTTTGGTTTTTCTATACACTGGAGTTGAAAGAAAATAGTCCAAAGGTCTGAAGATGGATTCTCCACCTAAAGTAAACAGCCCAGCATTCCTGTTCTCCTCTTGCCCCAAAGACTAAAGTCTCTGCTAAAATCCCTTTTACAATATAGTACAGTACACACAAAAAAAGCCCAAATTGAAACAAAAACAGAAAAGAATCCTGGGAGAAGCCAGTCCAAAGGACGTAAACATACAGAGAATGGTGCAACACATGACCGATGGCAATTCTCAAAGCACGGCTACAGATTTCCAAAAGTAGGTGCCATCATGGGATACCCAAGTCCACAAAAATAATTTTTAAAAAATAAATCTTAAAAAAAACACACCTGTTGATTAAATGATAATTTGTTTTCAGGTAAATCCATACATTCTCAAGTTCCCCCCTCCCTCAAAGCAGCCCTCGGGTTTCTGTTCTCCTATTGCATGACCAATAGTAAGTACGCCTGGAACGCCCTTCGAAGCAGCTCTCAGGACCTGGAATCTCATCTTGACAAGGATCGGCACGTCCAATCTTAGCAGCTTAAAACATCATGTTTCCTGGGTTGCCAGGTCCTTGGCTAAATCCACCCATGCCCACATCGGCAGCCATGCCCCGGGGCCTCATCTGTGGGGGGATCATGATGTTCTGTTGGGGTCCCATCATGCCCTGCATGGACATCATCATGCCTGGAGAGCCCACAGGCCCAGGGTGGGTGTAGAGCCCTGCAGGCCCCCGATCTTTGCCAGGAATCATGCTCACGGCAGCAGCTGGATTGCTCATCAGGGTGGGCTGGCCGGGCATTGTAGATTGTGCTGGTGACATCATCCGATGGTGAGGTCCCATCATGCCTTGCTGGAGAAAGGCTGGTGGTCTCATTGGATTGTGGCCTGGCATGGATGGAGCTGTACCAAGAGGGATGTCTGGAGTTCCTACTGGCCCTGGCCCTCCCATGCCAGGTAATGCTAGTCCCATTCTGGGGGCTTGATCGCTCATCATCCCCTGCATGTGCGAAAACCCAGGTCCGGGACCCTGAGGCTGCTTACGGCCTGGAACTTCTCCTCGAGGGAAATATTGCAGTGTCTGGCTAGGCTTCTCGGATGGAATAATGCGGGACAGATCAAACTCCGGTATTCCAGTGGCTCCAGGTCGGATGACCTCTTGTAGATCTGGGTCTGTAAACACCGAAGGCATGCTGTTTCCCAGGACAGTGAAGGAGTCAGGACCCCCTGGGCCTCCAGGCTTGCAAAGTGCTGCATCTGCTGAACTTTGGGGCAGGTTGCTGGGGCGGCCAAGGGGGCCTTCTCCCGGGAAGCCCATCCCTCCTGGGAAGTTGCCTTGTCCCCCACTGGGACCATTGTGAGGGAATGGAACCTGCTGTGGAGGAGACTGCACTGGAGGGAAGCCCTGGGGAAAACCCATCCGTCCTTGAGGTACCATTGGAGGCTCCTGGGACGCATGTCCCATGACAGGATTGTGTGACATCAAGCCAGGCCCCAGAGGGACCCCGTGAGGTGGTAAGCTGGGTCCCATGGCATTTGGAGAGGGCATCTGATTGGAGTGAGAAAGTGGCTGGGTCATTCCCATTGGGCTGAGGGTTGGCATCGGAACCACGGGGTTTGGACCTGAAATTCGAGGATTCTGTGTATTAATGCCCATTCCTAGAAAAACAAAGATATCAAAGGAATCAACTCAACCAAAAGCAACTCGGAAAAAACTGTAATAAAGCAATTTAACAAATAATCATTGAGCATGTAATGTGCATGGTCATGTACCAGGAAAACATACAATATATAATCCCTACCATCAGTAATGTGAAAATTTCTAAAATGCAAATGATAAGACAGAAGAAAACAATTTATGGGCTGGGGATTTAGCTCAGTGGTTCTGCCGCCCGCCTTGTAAGTGCAAGGATCCGAGTTCGATCCCCCGTACCAAAAATAAATAAACAAATAAACAATTTGCTTGAATGATGTCAGTATAGCCCTTTTTGGAGATTAATTGTTCTACAAGGCCAATTACAAAAAAAGACAAATCGAATACGTCTTTTTTTCCCTGCTGGAGTTATTTTATACTGCCTTATAAATAGAGCATTTAAAACTCTAGGTTACACAAACTGCTAAAGAAATTCTTTTAATAAAACAAAAAGAGAAGTACCCAGGTTCTATGATAGTCTCTGGGACATCTAAGTATTTGGTCACTGACTCCGGGAGGAATGGTGTTGCACCATTCAGGGAGCATGTCTTAACCTGGTTAACTTGGGCTACTGATGAATAAATGGCATTCCTCACCACCAGAATAGAACTGGAACCAGAAACCCATGGTTGAAAATCATGGTCCCTTTGCGGATCACCTTCACCATCCCAGATCATTTCCTGTTAGTGCAGTTGTGAAGGTGGGGCTGGGTATAGGAATGCAAGCATGACAAGCAGGAAAAGGAAAAATTCTGTTATCTCCCTAGCCCTAAACAAAGTGCTCCTCTAGGAAACGGGGACTTTCCATTGTCTGAAATCCTGTGGCCAATTGTGGTTTGAGGCTCTTTCCAGGAAAATACTTGAGGACTAGAGATTCCAATCAGCATGTTAAAAAGAAATGGCCTCTAGTATTGCTGCAAGAGGGCGACAAAGAAAAACAAAGCTAGACTAAAAAAACAAAACAAAAGCCACCATCCAAATAGAAGCAATAGAACTGTAAGGAAACCTGCTCTCTCACAAAAAATACAGAATCAAGCTAATGAAGTATCATCTTCCTCTGTTCAGGCACTTTAATTCTCCCCAAAACTAATTTAGATCCTACGTTTTTCAGCTTGTTCAACTTGTACCTATATATAGCCACCGAGAAAACACTTCATGCGGCTTCTCTTTTGTCCAGCACCAGCTCCACGGCCCATCCTTCTTATTTCTTACCTGGCATGTTATTCATGGATGGCAAGTTGGGAGAGCGAGCTGGAGGGGAGTCGTCATCGGAGCTGGCCACAGTCTTGATAGCATCGTGGTACAATGGGGTAGAACTGGGCATTGCAAACTTGGACATTCGAGACATCATAATTGAGAGCGGGTTCTGGGAAAGGGTTGGCTCTGGAGGCATGGTATAAGGTGTACTAGAGGGAAGACTTCCAGGGATATTCACAGAGGCAGGCTGGCTGGCTGTGGGAGGTGGAGGGCCGCCTGATAGAACAAAGCATAGCAAAACAAAAATGGGCAGAAAATTAGACTCCTTTTGAAGGCTCCCAGGCCCTATGATTATGAACTAGCAAGCCGGAATGAGACAGATGAGCAGGACAGTGTTATTAGACCCAGGACATGAATCATCAATCTTCCAGTCAAGCTCCCCGTGAGCGCACAGAGAGAGATGGCAGCATGATACAGAGGTGACGGATCAGCAGATGTAAAGACAAACACACCGGGAAGGCGTTAGAAGTATTAGTTCAAGCTTGAGGAAAAAAGGGTGTACAGACCACCACTTCACTGAAAAGAAAGTGAAATAAGTGGTATCTCTTTCCCTTGTCAATCACAATTTAGAATTTGGCTCAGGTATCAGAATGCCCTGAGCCAGATGAGTGCTCCAACCCCAGGTACTAACCACATCACCTCACACACACTCCCGATTAATTTCCCCAACCAAGATGTTTGAGCTAAAAAGGTCTGAGGGGCTGGCCATTCACTCTAGTGCTTCGGTGAATTGCTATCCCACAGAGAGGCAGACACTTTAGCATGGTAGGATAACTCTCCCGTCTTACTCTGATTCTAGTTCTTCTCAAATGGAGACAAACCAACCCAGTATTTACACCCCAGTGCTATTTCCA